GCTCTCACCCCAGCCCCCACAGCCCTCCCAGGGCTGGCGGGAACCCACCCCCTGCTTTACCTTTCCCCCCAACCCCGCCTTGCGAGGGTTAAACATTAACCCCCAAGATGCAGGGTCAAAGTCACAACAGGGGAGAGGGTGGGGCGGAAGGGAGCAGGGTCCAGTGGTTAGAGCAGGGACTGGGAGCCGGGATCCCTGGTCCCAGAGGGGCGTGCGGGCGAGAGCAGGGGAGGCCGGGAGCCGAAGCCGGAGGCCTGGGTTCTCTCAGCTTGGGAAGAGGGGTGAGAGCAGGGCCTGCGAGCCCGGACGCGCTCTGGGAGGGGAGTGGGGACCATTAGGAACCCAGCTGCGGGGGTTGTCCCCAGCCCTGGTGGGGGGCCCCATCCTGCCCCTCCCTGGGGTGGGGGGCAGGCGGCTGCACTTTGCATCTCGCATCCTTATCACCTCCTCGCAGTCGGGTGATCAGTAACTGCCACGGGCCTGGCCCGGACACACGGACTGCTGGGGCACTTGCTGGTAAGGATCCCCGCCCCCGGGTCATGGGATGCAGCTGGAACAAAGGTGCGGCTGGGTCCTAGGCCCCACTGAGCCCCCAGCGCTGGGAGGGGGAAGGGCTGGAAGCTCTGGGACGGCCGAGAGTGGGGCAGCGGGGACCCCGCCGCCTGGCTTCTCTCCCGGCTCTGGGTGAGGGCTGGCGGCCCGGGGGTTGGAAGCCAGGGCACCTGGGGTCGGTTGTCTCCTCCTACCTGCACCCGGGCAGGGATCTGGGCTCAGTGCAACGAGGGGGGAGGTGCCAGTGGGGACTCTGCCCCGCAGCAGAGCAGGGCCACCTGGGGCTGGGGCATGGGTGGTCTCCCATCCACACCCCAACCCTCCCTGGCCCTGCTCCGCTTCCCAGGGGCATCAGAGCCTGCTTGGGCACAACGCCCCTTGCTGGCTGCCCCCAGCTCTGCCAGCGCCCCCCTGCTGGAGCCCTAGTCCCCAGGGTCAGAGTCCCTTTATAACCGCTTGTTATTGCCTAGCTGGGCTGGTGCCTGCCCGTGCCAGTGCCAGGGGGCAGAGTTCACCCCCGCCCGCAGCCCTGCCAGGGCCCCATGGGTCGCCCCAGCCCAGGGCTCCCAGAGCGGCTGCCCCTGTTCTACTCGGCTGCAGACACGTCCCATCCCAGCCCCCACCCCAGAGGTGGTCGCATCCCAGGAAGACTGACTTTGTTTCCTTCCTCCTGCTGGTGCTGAGCGTGTCCAGGGGCGCCTGGATTGGGGCCCCAGTGCTGGTGTCCATCCGCTGTAACAGCAACTCCATGTGGGAGGGGTCCGTGGTCCCCGTGGGGCTGCTGTTATTCTGGACGGGCACCGGGAGCGACGGACAGATGGACACAGACAGATGGGGGGGCGGGGGGGGGCTGCTGGGGTTAGCCACGAGGGGCTGGCTGGCTGGCT